AAACATTTAAAAAAAAAAAAAAAGAAGTGAAATTAACGTACACTTTAAAAAGGAACAGAGTGCATAATATTTAGTCCATTTCACTCACACGTGGCTTAATTTCCCGGAGTTAACGTATATGAAAACTGCTCACCCAGGGGAACAGAACTGCACACGTGGGGAGGGCCAGGGACCGGCACGGCCATTACAGTGGACCCCAGGAAACAGGCACGGGTCCCGGACAACGGGTGTGGCGCAGACCCGGGCTGCAGGGAGGCGCCCTCCCGCCTCCAACAGGAAAACCAGGGGACCCGGTGCTTGGAGGGCAAGGGTCCCCTCTGCCTGCAGGGACGCTGCCAGCCCTCCCGGACCCTCGACACGCTCGCCAGGGCGCTCAGGGAAGTGCAGCAGTGCATTCTGACAATAAAAGGGCAGCGGAAACAACTCTGCTCTGACAGTGGGGCCGATGGGCAGCGTGGGGTCCGTGGGCAGCGTGGGGCCGTGCCCAGGGCCCCTCGCCCCACTCACGCTTGCGAAGTGAGGAGTGCAAACCTGGGGGCTCTCCCCAGAGACCATGGTGGGGGGTGGGGTACACCTGCCAGGTCCACAAGGATCAGCAACACGCGGGAAGGGCGGGGGAGAGGAGGGGCCCCCGTCGGGGCGGCGCGGACACCTACTCTGGTTGTCCAGCTTCTGCAGGTGCGGCAGGTTACGCAGGACGGTCATGCGGTAGAGGTGTGGGTCGGACCCGCAGCACGGGTTCTCCGCCAGCCACAGCACGCGCAGGCGCGGCAGGCCCTTCAGGTAGTAGAGCTCCGCCAGGCTGGGGATGCGGTTCCTCCGCAGGTACAGCTCACTCAGCTGCTGGCAGCGGCTCACGGGCTCCAGGGTGGACACGCTGTTGACGCTGCACGGGGACAGCACGGTGTCAGCTGTAAGGCCCGCGCCCATCCGCCCTCCCCCGGGAAGCTGATCGAAGCTGGGAGGCATGAGTCACGTTCCACGAGGTGCCCAGGGCGAGGAGAAAGCGTCAGGAGTACGGGCAGCAGTGAGCAACCCCCAACTTGGTGAGTTGTTAGGCTCACCGAGTCAATGGGGAGGTAGGAGGGCCCACTCTCCTCACAGGACAGGAAACAGGCCTCCAAGGGACCGTCTCCATGCCCCAAAGCAGGCAGCAGCCAGCAGAACCCACAGCAAATACAAGGAAGCCCTACCCTACACACACTGGGCACCGAACTTCTGAGCCCCGGCTTGAGCAGCAGGGTATATGGGTTTACATCTTCCGCAGAGATGTGAGCACATCACAGACAGAAGGTCGCCCAGGCATCTAGGCAGAGACTCTACGGTCTAAACGGACACAAGCAGAAAGCTCGCACCTCCACAAAAGCAAGCGGACCGTGAACACACGCCCAGCGCAGTGTCCAGCTGAGCTCAGGGCCCAGCGTCCTCGTGGGCCTGGTGGGAGCTCCTCCTCCACAGCTTTGGGGACGCTGCTGCTCCCTGCCGAGCCGGAGGGCACGGGTGGGGCCACTCCAAGAGACCCTGCCCGACGAGACCTATCTAGAACACTCTCTCAGGAGTCTGTATCTGCGTTGGCAGTGATGTCCTGATTCTTCCAGGGACACCCCTGCAATTCTGAACACTCACTGACCGCAGTTACCAGCGCTCAAGGTGTGCGGGAGCTGCCCAAGGCACAGGCAGGGGTGCGGTGGGACCCGAGGCTACACGCTGGCCCGGTCCTCCTCGTCGACCACTGGGCTATCTGTGGTTGGACTGAATGTCTGTGCCCCCCAAACTCATACGTTGAAACCTACCCCCCAAGGTGCCGGTGTTTGGAGGTGGCTGGGTCAGAGGAGCCCTCACAACGGGACCTTAGGAAAGAGACCCCCCGAGCTCCCTCGCTCCTGGCCCCACCTGAGGACCCAGCGAGAAAATGGCGTGTGAACCGGAAAACAGGTCTCACCGGACACTGAAAATCCAACACCCTCATCTTGGACTTGCGGCTCCGGAATAGACTGAGACAGGCCTTGTACACACGAGGTCTAAGACCGTAGGGAAATGACCGCACCTCACCAAAGATCGGCACCCTGTGTTCACAAGGCAATTTACACCCAGTCCCAGTGCCGCCAGAGACCCAGGCCCTGGAACCTGGGCTCAGTCAACAACCCCGGGCCTTGTCCTTTCTCAGAGCCGTCCACAGGGCGCTCAGAGAGGCCCAGCGACCTGCCCCAAACCACTCCAGGCACGGCAGAGCCGGGGTTCAAGCCACGCCTACCTCCAGGTTTCCTGCTACTTGGGGGAATGGAAGGCAATATATTTATTTGTCAGGTAAGCCTTCCTGGGGTGTGGGCTCAAACCTCGGCTTCACTGATACGAGGCAGTGACAGTGACAGCTGGTGTGTGCGCACTGGCTCAGCGCTGCAGCCCCTCCTCACTGCCCCCAAGGGGCAGGCGCTGGTATTATTTCCGTATTACAGATAGGGAAACTGAGGCCCAGGGACCTGAGCCTTGCCCGACGTGGGAGGGCCGGCATCTGGCAAGCGGTGATGACTCACGGGCTCTCTCCAAACAGCCCAGCTGCCTGAAGTCCCGGCAGCACCTGGTTCAGCCACGGATTCCCTAGCCTGTTAAGATGCCAAGGCCTCCGGAAGAGGTGGCTATGACCGGTCAGAGGCCGTGTTTTGCGGGGACACTGGTGGAGCTCCTGGCAGCTCCGGAACCAGAGGGCAGAAATGGTGGGGGTGCTGGAGGCGGACGTGGCCACCTCGAGGGCAGCTGCTCATCACGTGGGGGTTGCACCCACTGAGCATGGTGAGGCTGGGCACGGATGCAGCGGGGCATGCTCGAGGGGACGGCCGGGGGCCCCTCATAAGGAGGCAGAGCTCAGGGGGGCTGAGGCACAGCCAGGCCTTGTGCCGCCGACCCTCCTCCGCACACAGAAGCTCCCCACCCCCACGCCCCCAGACAGACTCTTGTTGGGAGCTTTCAGATTATCCGAGGGGATCTGAGCCTTCTCCTTTTGAGCCCCGTGACTCAGAGCACAGCAGGCGTTTAGGTACCTGAGGGTGATCACTTCCAGGCTGGGCATTTCCCGGCAGATGGAGACCTAGGAAGGAAAGGAATGTGATGGCAGACACCGCCAGGCGCTCTCTCCACGAGCCCGGCACAGGGACGGGGTGGCACCACAGAGAGCCCCATCTCAGCCCTCCGCGCCTACGCGGGGCAGCCGCTGGCCTCATGGGGGCTGACGCAACACGTGACAGCAGGCAGGCTCCGCACGACACTCCGCTTTGCACCCAGACACTCCCTCAACATGAAGAAGCACGCGCTCTCTCTAGGACTTTGGAGAGCATCGCCGCTATCAGAGGCCGCTATCCCTGAGATGCCCGCAGAAGACATCAGGGGAGGGGACCTCAATGGCCCCTGCGTGGACAGAGAACGTTTCTTTTGCTGTCCCTGAGGCACGGGGAGAAGGCTCGGCCAACGGAGCTGGGGCAAAAGGGAGACAGGATTGGAACTGGACCTCACACCACATTAATACTGTTGATTCAGGGAAAAGACCAATGGGGCGCTTGGCTGGGTCCATAAAGTCAGCCTGGAAGGCCGATGGGGGGTACAGCCCCCACAAACGTCTGTGCTGCCACGTGTCAGGCGTGGAGCCAGATGAGGCCCTTGACCTCCAGAGGCTCATGGTTGGCTCAGAGTGCTTTACATGTGCAATGGGTTTGTTTCTGCTACAGTGGCATTTTTGGGTTTCAGGGGTTTTTTTGGGCTGCTGAATATGCAGCATTTCAGCTATAGCAGGAGGCGGAATCAGCTTTTCTGGATAGCCCAGTGTCTCAGCAGCACTTCTGACTGTTTTCAAGGAAAGGGACGGTTCACGTTACAAAAGTGAGAAAGAAACCACAGGTACACAATCCGTGTGTAAGTCCGGGACGTTCACTCTCGGAGAGGGAGAGGGCAAGACCGTTCACAGACCCAGAGCTCAGCTCAGGGCACTGCCCCCGCCCAACCCAGGTGCCCATCTCTACCCGCCGTGGCCCGGGGGGCGGGAGTGGGGGTGGGGAGCAGAATGCTGGATCTGACCAAGAACAGGGCCAAAACGAGCAACTCCTCAGTGACCCAAAGCCTTCCCCCTCCTCTGGGAGACCTGGGACACGAAGCCTTTCATCGATTAAATACTGAAAGGAACTTCAGAATAAAGCTGGGCACTCGGGGGTATGTTTTTCATTAGTCATTCTACATTCCAAGCACTGCTAAATGAACCAAGTACCAGATTAGGGGCTGAATTGAATGTGTGTGGTTCTGTAAATTTAACAGTTCTCTTGAGGGACAGGTGACACCTTTGGGGACCAGGGGGCATCTGGAGATGATCAGCAGAATACTTACATCTGTGAGGCGGCTGCCCCTATGGAGAGAGAAGACATACTTTAATTCTGTTAAAGCTGAGTAAGAAAACAAATGGACACAAATTAGTGACAAATGTCTACAAACTAAAATTCTATAATTCCAATGATAAAGTGAGGGAAACCTTGCCCAGATGACTCACAAAAGTGTCAAAAGTTGTCACACGACTGAAAACTGTTTATGTCTGGTGCCTGAGGGGTGCTTCTCAGACTGAGGAGCCGGAGGGCTGCCCCACTTGGAGGGCACAAAGACCCACTCACCCTCCAGGCTGCCGCAAGGCAGGACCACTTCCCTCACTGATGTAAGCAGACAAGCAAGTCCTTGTAACAGGCCACGCTCGAAGGCTGAACACGCAGCTTATGAGACCAACACTAGAGAGCCTGAAATAGGGCCCTTGTCTCTCCCCGCTCTGGGGAAGCATGGCCACCCCACGCAAGACAAAGAAGCATATTGTTGAGAACAAACGGCAGAGCCAAATGTCAGAAGTGCCAGGGCAGAGGGAAAGGCTTTTTAATGCACAGGCAGGGCCCACTGCGGTCAATCTGCCCACACTTCCTGTGAGGCCGGTCTGCCCCTGGCTGGGCTCCCCACGCCCCACCTGAACTGTCCAGTGTACAGGGGTGCGTGAAGCCTTGAGTCCCCAGTGAACACCTGTAGACCTTCCCAGAGTTCATGGAGTGCTTCTGGTCCTTCCTCAGCCCAGCCAGACCTGGTCACCCCCCAGACAGGGAGTCACCTGGGGACAGCCCCTCCCCAACAGGGCCCAGTTACAAGAATGTTTATGGATTCCTTACTTGGGAGTCTCAGCTCTCTCTCTTTCCCACTAGAAATGGTGTTAATCACCTCGATCCCCCACCCGATTAGTAGACCTGGCACCCAGTGGCTGGCAATGTCAGAAATCAGATCCTTCCAGAGGGGACCCGTTTGCCCCATCTACCCGTTTGTCCATTGCATCGGGCCCAATGCCATCTAGAGGGCTGACAGAGACTTCGCGGTAATGCCAATTGTCTCAAAGAGTGCATGTTTGGGGCCTGGGTCTGAAGCACCACCACTCCGCGGGGGCAAAGATTCTGGAATGATCCTTGCCAAAGGCCACCTGGGCTGGTGGCAGCACTTCCTGCATGCTGGGCGGGGCCCTGGCACTTGCTCTCCTCCGTCCCGAACCCTTTTCTGGCCCCTCCGCAGGCCCTTCCCGCCCCCCGCCCAGAGCCCAGGTGCCGGGCGGGGGTGCTGGGCAGCGGGAAGGACGTGAGGGGACGGCCCCGGGCTCTGGGCCCTCACCAGCAGTTGAGCTTCCGCACGCTGTGCAGCTCCGAGGCCTTGGCCCGGGACAGGACCATCTTCCGAGTCAGCTTCATGGTGGAGGGCCTCCCGGAACCCGCCCCCGGCCCCCGGCCCCCGGCCCCCGGCCCCCGGCCCCCGGCCCGGCCCTGCCCTCGACCAGCCGCCAGCTAGCCACGGGTTCCCGGCTCCATGGCGGCCTGTCTCCAGGGGGCGGGGCCCGCGTCGTCAGGGGCGGGCCCTGCGAGTCCATTGGCCATTCCTTGAGGGGCGAAGCGGCGCGAGCGAGGTGGGGCCGCCCGGGCAAGCGCTCAACGCTTTAGTTCGGCCCTCGCCTGCCCCGCCCCGCCCCTCCGGCTGCGCGCGTCCAGGCCTGCGCGTGCGCGGCGTGGGGGGACGGGGGACGGAGAAGTGTCTGCTTCTGACGTAATTCTGCTGCGACCCAGGTGAGGCCCCTCGTCGGGACAGACCGGCGATACCGAGTCACCGAGCACCGAGGCCCCCAGCTCCGAGTCTTCGAGCCCTGAGATCCTGAACCGCCCCAGCCCCGAGCCTTCTAGCTCTTGAGCCCCCGAGCTCGGAGCCTGGAACGTAGACGTGACAGTGTATTGACTCCCTGAATAACGGAGATTTACACTGTTCAGATAAGAAGCCAGCCCTAGGCCCGTGTGGATTTCCTTTCCCCTTGAGCATAAAGGTAC